AGACCTTTTTATCGTGCTAACAGCTTCCAATGAGGTTGACAGCCATCCTGTAAAAGGGTAGATGACTTGGTTTAAAACAAACCTGTCAGCGTCTTACTGATGATGACAACTGCAATGTCACCGACCCCATGGGGGTTTGGAGGACTCCGAGACGACCAAGATGATGGTCCCTAACCTCAGGAAGTTCAGAGTCTAATAAAGAAGGCATCGAGGAAGAGGAGTCACAACACAACACATTATGGATGGCGGTGTGAAAACACAGAAGATATTGGCCATGCTCCCTTAAAGCTACAAACGCCTGGAGGGCGGGCACTATCTTCAGTGTCTCCGATTGCTACAGAGTCCACGTTTATTCAGCAAATACGCATTCGCCTGCACAGATGGTCAACAATTCATCTGCAGACGAAACCCTGGAGGACTTGGGAAATTTGACGGACAGAAGAACAGGACCCAGAAGGCTTGAATTTGAATCCTGACTCAACCACTGACTAGTTAAGAGAAACAGTTCCCTTTATGGGCCTCAGTTTTCTCACCTATAAAATGGGAGTGATTTTATTTGCCTTATGAGGATATGACAAGAACAAAGCTAGGTAACATGTAAGCACTTAGCACAATGACCATCCCAGAACAAGCACCGAAAAAGTACTAGCCATGGTTAGGCTCCATTGCCAGTGGTAACGACAATAATTCCTTATCTAGATGTCCAAACATCCTGTTCCCACTGGAGAAACGGCCAGACATGAAGCAGGTCTGAGACCACCACCTTTTGGGGATACAAAACAGACCTTAAAACCGCGCCTGCACCCATCAATCATGCCTGCCCGGCCAGGCTAACTTCTCACCTACCATTTTGGGCTACAGCAGGAGCTAAAGGAAAGGGGAAGAAATTTAGGGCGGGGGTGGGGGAAGGTGGTCTGAAAGAGAAGAGAATTTACTTCACAGGACTAACCATTCTGAAGTGGGGTGAAGAGGGGCCATGGAGAGGGACAAGGACGGGCGGCAGCACCAAAGGCAATTGAAGTGCCAGAACTGCTCTCTCCTCCACACCCTTGAGAAAGGTGGGGTGTGTTTTTTTGCCATTTCAGGCCATGGTTTTATTTTTTTAATGTACTTTTAATACATACAATATTATGTTCATTTCAAGAGTATAACACAGTCAACAGACATTTATATACCTTACGAAGTGAGCCCCCCATAAGTCTGGTACCCACCTGGCACCATACATAGTTGTTACCATATCACTGACTCTATCCCCTGTGCTGTGCTCTACATCCCTGTGACTGTTCTGTGAGTCCAGGCTCTGGGGTTGGACATGTAACGTTGAAGTCCCATTCTGCCAACACCTCAGCTTCACTCGTTACGTAAGAACTGAACCGCTTACCTGCAGGGCGGCTCTAAAGAGGAGACAGATGTGATCCTGCCCAGCTCAGGTGCTACGGATCTGGGCGCACAGTTCCTACTGGAAACCAGCACGATGCAGGATACTCTATTCTTACTAGGACTTTCAGATCTACTCCAAATGCTTCCTGGAGCAAATGTTACTGCGTGTGTGTGTGGTGGAGTGGAGGTCACGGGGAACGATATGAGGAAACCAAGGCCTATGTAGCGGCAATGGTTCCAGCAAGGACGCATGAGTCGGGGCCCAATTCTCCTAGGGCTTGTACCCTTTTATGTTGTCCCACGCAAATTCTGCCCACCCCTGTTCTGTGCCTACGTATGTTAATCTAGGGCAGGGATCAGCACACTTTTTTTTGCAAAGGGCAGGACAGTATATATTTTCAGCTTTGCAGGTCAGACGATCTTGGTCACAGCGACTCAACTCTACCGTTGTGCACAAAAGCAGCCACAGACAAAATGAATGTGAATAGACGTGGCTGTATACCAATAAAACTTTATTTATAAAAGCAAACGATGGGGCCGGCCGAGTGGCGCATTGGTTAAGAGCTGGCTTGGGACACCAGAGGGCCCCAGTTCGGATCCCACATATGAGGGCCAGTGACACTGCCCTCCACAGCTAAGATGCTGAACAACAGCTCAACCTGGAGCTGGGCTGCTGTGAGTTGCCAGCAATGGCATAGGCTGCAACCCCTGCTGCAGTGGGTTGCCATAGGCTACCGTGTGTAGCCAGCAGCCGCTGTGAGTGGCCATCCAGAAGCCAGCGACTGATCTGCCTCACCCGGGAAGAGCACAATGATGGTGCCAACTTGGGCCAGTGAGGCAACGTCCTCCACAACTAGACTGAAGAACAAAGGACAGCAACTTGTCTGTTCCCTTTCCCCAATTCCCCAACACTGTTCCCTCCCTCAATTCCCCAATAAAATCTTAAAAAAAAAAAAAAAGCAAACGATGGGCCAGATTTGGCTCCAGAGCTGTAGTTTGCGACCCCTGGTCTAGGGATTCAGAGCTTATCAAGTTCACACAGCCAACAAACAGCTGAACTGGGACTGCATGAGAAAGAACTCTATATTCTTTCCATGGCCCCACTCATGCCCAATTACACTCTTGTTGCAGGGGTCTACTCCTGCCCCCCTAAACCCAATGTGCCCTTTTATGCTCACTCCCCTCCCTGCACCCCACTAAGCACGCTCCATCTCGCAGGAGTCAACTTCTCCCGAGGCACGAAATACTTGCAGACATAAAGGATGAACCCAAGTCATCACCGGGGACCACAGGCTTTAGCGGTTAGAGGCACAGGCCTGAGCACCTGATCAGGACTCACCTTGCCCTTTCTCCACTTCCCAGCTGCGTGAACGTGGGCATGCAGGCAACCCCTGAGTGGTCCCCTTGCCTGTGGAAACTGGCTAGGGTTTTTGAAAATCAAGTAAGACAGTTGATGTAAAGTCTATAGAAAGGGTTGGTCAGAAAATGGAATCATTAAAAAGCCACAACCTGTGTAATTCTCTTTTCCCCTATATGTTTACATTGACCACCAACTAGACCATCGTCTCCTGCAGGAAGGGCCTGACTTACTCGGCAGATTCTGTGGTTCCTGGCACTACGCAGAGAGGGCAGGTAGCAGGGGCTCCGCGAACACAAGCGACAGCTGCCTCTCACTCAGGAACAGACGTGAGGAACCCAGCTCCGAGCCCCTGGCGTCACGGAACCATTTTCAGCTGCGTTTAAGATCTCATTTGTGCTACCACTGGGCTACAAACGGCTGGCGGGAGATGGAGCCATGTTTGTTCTCAGCCTCTTTCACCTTCCGAGTTCCTTGGTCCTCTTTGCGTTTCTTTGGGGAGCATGTTTCTTTGGGGAGACAGAGGATTTCACAGCCTGATTGAGGCCTGGGTCCCTCCAAAAGTGGAGAGAATGAAGCCACAGGGGACTCACTGAGGCACTTTCGAAACCCAGTCTGCCTCCCACAATAACTTCAGAGAAGTAGGGTGGTGTGTGAACCCAGGTCCAGGAAGCCCCCCGAGCCCTTCTTGGGTAGAAGTAGTGGCGGCTGAAATACTGCTGGTCACACATTCTATAGATTTTGGCAAGGGGGGAAAGAAAGAGATTCTCCACCTTCTGGACAAGCCAAGGGGTGGAGAGGAAGGGGGCTCAGTGCCCCGAGGGCAGCTGAGTTACTCTGCGAACGGGATGCCTTGACTGGCCCATGGAAAGATGCTTGCCCAGCACCCCCACACCCCTTAGAAATACTAATAAACACTTGACACTAAAAGCAGTGCTGGTTGGGTGCCAGGCACGGTTCTAAGCCTTTCCATGTATTAACTTATTTAATCTTTGCAGCGACCCTATGAAGTAGTGCTTAGTTACCCCTATTTTACAGTTGAGGCAACGGAAGCACAGAGACGCTAAGTAACTTTCCTGAGGTCACACAACCTGCAACAGATGCAGCTGGGACTCAAACCCAGGCCGTCTAGCAACAGAGCCCTCATTCACCCACTCCCCGAGTCGTCTCCCTGTGCAGACAGGCACACCCTGCCCTTAGAAAGCAGCGCAAGTGTTGTCTTCTCCATTGCACTGGGCGGCTGGGAGCTCACAGAATCTAAGGCCTGGATGGACCAGGCAGCCCTGAGGCCCGTTTTCTTATTTTGCAGTTGGAGGTGGATTCCCGAGGGAAAGGGGCAGGGTCTGCAATTTCCCAGGTTATGTAGCCGCCCAGTGAAAGCATCAACACCGACTCAATACAGTGCTCGTCTCACCTTCTCCCAGACACTCAGCCAAAATGCACAGTTAACACTTTAACACCCAGGAAACCACGGGAGAAACACGTGGCCCTTTTCCCACCAGCAGGCACGACCTCTGAGGAAGCAGGAACCCAGGCATCCGGTTTCCTGTGTGACCCCAGCAAAATCCATGACCACATATCGAGCCCCAGTCTGCAGGCCCCGCCATGGTGACCATCTGCACCATGCTGTTCACCCTCACCCGGTTCTCTTTGTGACCAAATGCACACCCCAGCAAGATGGCTGGCACGGGGTAAGGCTGCAGCCCACACCAAGTTTTCCCCTTCTGTATAAAACATGAGCCTTTGGGAGACAAAGTCACGAGCCAAGACTACGAGGAATCCCCACAGCAGAGCCAGGGGCTGGGAGAGGCTGCCGAGGGCGACACCACCGCGAGCATCCAAGTTCCTCCAACGGGGGACCAGAGAGACATGGCTTAAACACAGAGAGGGGCCAGTGGACAGAAAGCCAGATGTCTAGGATTGGCACCTGCCCCCGAAAGATGACCACAGATACTCCATCATCAGCTCCCGCCAGACGCACCATCCCTCACCGTCTGGGCAGCCACAGCGAAAAGAGGTAACAGGAGACAAATGGGGGCCTCTCCTTCCCCTGCCCAAGTGGTGAACATGCCATCTCGTGGCATGTCCTCAAACTTTCAAGTGAATATGCCAGACAATCACGTCCCTGGCTAGTTGAACTTCACATTCCAAATGACACCGAGGGAGAGATGGGGTTGACAGACACACAGACAGAGACACACAGGAGCCTCTGCCACTGGCAGCTCCAGATGACGCCCCACTTTCCACACGACACGCTTCCTACCTGCTTCCATCAGTTGGCACTGCTGACCGAAGACATGGGAGAAGGTGACAGGGCCTGTGGCAGAACTGGATGTCGCCAGCATGGATTCCATGGCTCCTCTGGGGTCTTTGGTGTTGGTCATGTGACAAAGACCAGACCCTCCGGTGTGTCCCAGTGAAGGATGACGTCGTCGCTGGCCCGGGAACCGTAGGTCTGAAGCCACTTGTCACTTCCAAGAAAATGTCCCTGCCCCGAAGTTTATATGGTTTCTTCCTGCTGCCACCCACTCCTTGCAGTTTCTCTCAGGCACCAATCAAGTGGAAAATGAAACCCTACAGGATTCGGCAGATCTTGCTCAGCTACAGGAGTTCGATGCAAAAGCAAAAGAGAAGTTTTACGCAACAGAACTTGTTTCCTCTTGTCTGGGAGGGTTGGCTGAGACCTGGGCGCCCGCTCTGTCTTCCCGGGTTGTCCTCTGAAAGGGGCAGGGTCCACGGAGCTGCTCAGCCCCGTGGCTGGCTGGAGAGAGCTGGGGCCCCAGCGCCAGCTGCAGGAAAAGCACTGCTGGGCTCCGCGGTGTCTCCTTCCAGGGAGGAGGGCAGGGAGCGAGGCTGCCCCGAGCTCCCCGGGGAGCTGGCCTGAAGGCCCAGCGCTTGGGCAGCTCAGGCAGCTCGGGCCCTGGTTTGCGTCCTCCCGGAGCCCTAGAGCCGCTGTCCAGGGTCGGTGCGTGCCCCTGGGCGGCCGGATGCAGACGGGGGAGGACGAGAGGCTGGCAAGCGCAGCGCGAGCTCTCTGCAGCTCTGGACACGAGACGCCCGTGGTTCATCCTTCAGTCTGGATGCCGTTCTCTTCCCGTGTCCCCCTGCTTGCCAGGCTGCGGAGGGGGGAGTGAGACATGGTTACAGAGCCCCCCGCTGGACCTACTGCAGCCAGCCCCCCAGCCCACGCCACCACCCCTTTTCCATAACGCAAAAGGGCCTTTACTTGGAGATGTTCTGGATGCAGAGGGAAGTGCTAACTCAGCCCAGCGGGCTCCTGGCTGCTGTAACCTCTTCATGCCCACAGCCCAGGAAGTGCCACACAGGGGCGAGGGGAGTGCCAGCCACGAAATCAAAGATCAAATAGGGGAGAGATGCCAAATGCCATACATCCCCCATGGTGACACTCTGGTGACATAGAGACGGTCTGGGTGCTTCACCTTTGCCCAAAGCAGACCTACTCTGTGCCCAGAACAACCAGTGCCCCGCTCCAGCTGAAAGGGGCAGGTCCTCCGGAAAAGGGGAAGGGGAGGGAGACGCCTTTCACATGATCGCAGCAGCTGTTTCAGTGGGCGCGGTGTCTTTATTTTGCTATCCCATCCGCTGATCACAAAGGTGCTGACTTTAGATCGAGGCACCGCATCATCCCCAGCCAGCATTTTGGACACTTTCGTTGGGGATCTGGCTGCAACACTGGCAGGACGCTGGCAGCATCACACCCTCCAGGGGAGAGAGAATGCGACCCAGCACAGCAGGGGGAATCCAAGCGCCCATGGCTGCTTCCCCACGAAGACTTTGGTAGAAAGGCCATTTGCCTATTGTGTATTTGAAATACAGAAGCTCACATCCCAACTGAGTTTTGAGGCAGAAAGGCTCTCAGACACAAGCTATTTCCACTCGAGCTCTTTGCCAGTGAGACCAAAGCTCGGTGTTGCTTGTTGGGTTACCCAGGATGGTTGAAGCAAGGCAGAGGACACCTTGAAGTACTTCCAAGAGTTAAACGAAGTGTACTTCGTGTTAATGATATACAGTAGCTTGAACTATGAGTATCCCTTTTCTTGCATGGAACAAGGTTCTTCTCCAAGTCATGAAATTACAGGACATCAGAGACCATTCCCCCTGACAGCTAAGGTCTAAGACCATCAAGGACTAAGGTTGGGGAGAGACCAGGTCTCTTGGTAACTGCAGAAACCTCGTGCAGGTGGGAAATGGACTGGCTTCCCACGTCTGGGTTACTAGGTAGGTTTCAATGCATCCTAGCAATGGACCACTACGCTGCCATAAAAAAAAAAAATCCTAGGTGAGTTATGGGGAAAGAAGGAAGGAAGCAAATGAGCATAGAAGATTTTTAGGGCAGTAAAAATTCTCTGAATGATACTATAATGATGAATACATGTCATTATACATCTGTCCAAACCCATAGAATATCCAACACCGAGAGTGAACCCTAATGAGAACTATGGACTCTGGTCGATAATAACGTGTCAGTGCAAATCCATGGACTGTACCAAACATACCGCTCTGCAGGGGGGGAGGGGGCTGGTGTAATGGGGGACGCTGTGCCTGTGTTGGGGAAAGCGGGCATATGGGACATCTCTGTACCTTCTTCTGAATTTTGCTGTAAACCTAGAACGGCTCTAAAAAACAGTTTGTCTTTAAATAAAAATTTGAGGTAAACCTTTATACACTAATTCAACCTGCAGATATCTTCGTTTGGAAAACTGGGGGTGTTTTTTCCCCTCCCTTCTCTGTACACCTAGTTCATCGCTTCTCGCTGCTCCGTGGTGTTTCATATACCCCAATCTACAACGTTTTCCTCTGTCTGCTCCCTTCACACCAGGCACCCAAGTTGCCTCCTGTACCCTGCTACTATAAACAGCACAGTTAACAATGCCACCTAATGGTTAGTCCTCAACATATCATCCAAGTCAAGACACAGACAATGAAAGCACGGAACCCCTATTAATAATTACACCAGGATAAGTGGCATTAGCTAGGAGGGATGGGTCTGTGCAAGCATTTCCCTGGCTGTGTTCCCAAGAGTGGAATTATTCAATGATATATGCAAATTCGACTTCATGAGACGCTGCCAGGTACCACTCCAGAATGACTGTGCTGGTTTTCACTCTCACTGGGACTGCACGTGGGTTCCCACCCTCTCCCATCTGTGTTAATGTTAATAACTGTTATTGGCAATAATTAGAAAGCTGGGCGATCTAGCAGGTACAGAGTTATAGCTCACTGTTTTGCTTTGCTTTTCCTCCATTACGAGGAAGTTGAGCACTCCTTGAAAAGCCTATGAACCACTGAGGTCTCCTCTTCAAGGAGTTTCCTGTTCATAACCTGGACCCATTTTTCCAGTCGTTTTTCTGTTTTCTGACTCTTGTTGTTAGACACTCATTTAGGCTGTGCCAATACCTTCTCCCAACCAGTCATTCCCACATAACTTTGCCCATGATGTCTTTTCTCAACTAGAAATACTTCATTTTAATGTCGCCAGATCCGTTGTTGTTTTTGACTGATAGTCTGTTCTGAGGGTCTTGCTTAAAACACCCTTCTCTCCTCCTAGGCTGCAGAGACAGCCTCCTTTAGAGCTTTCCCTTCTTCACTCAGTCCTTACCTACCTGGGGTCTACTTTTATATCCGGTATAAGGTAGGGGCCAGCTTTGTTTTTATCGAGATTGTAAACCAGTTTTCCCCACCCACCCTTTCCCCACTGTGGCCTCATTATTACGACCCACACACATGCGTCTGTTCATGAGCGCTCTCCTGTTTTGATCCCCCCACACCAGGCTGTCAATGCTACCATTTTAGGGTTAGTGACCAACATTGCAAGAAGTCTGGATTTCGAATCTTTCTAGACCAGTCAGCTTGCTGGTGTTGAGCCTGTGTGTCTCACGCTAGCAATCAGCTGATGCCCCCTTTCTA